ACGATGAGCGCTCAAAATGAAAACAACGCAAAGCAGCCCGGTCGGTCGGCAAAGTCCAGCTTGGCAAATGTAGACTTGGATGAAGTTAGCAGGCTCATGTCTACACCCGCCTTCCTCAGAGGCCTGGCACCCTCGCAATTGCCCTCTGCTGCCGTGAGCGACGGGTCTTCGCTAAGCCCCACGCACAACGAAGCACGGCCGCATCCAGGACCCTCGGCGCTACACCTTGCGGAGACGCTCAGAGATCTCGAGGATGAGCTCGAAGACGCGGATCTGCTGCAGCCACTGATCCAGGAGCCGTGCGCCGACGGCACTTCGACCAGCATCGAGAAGCGCGTCGTCACCCATCTCGACGGCCACTTCCTGGGCGCGCATCGTGACTACTCCACCATGCAGACCTTTCCCCACGGTCACGAGGATGTCGTGCTCGCCGTCGACTTCAACTACTTCGGCAACCGCATGGTCACGGCCAGCTCAGACCACCGTCTCAAGGTCTGGGACAAGAAGGACGACGCCTGGGCGCTGGTCGAGAGTTGGCGGGCTCACGACGCCGAGATTGTCGACGTAAGTTATCTAATCGCCCGCCGCATGCCCAAGCCCCTCGGTTGCCTGCATATTATTTGCCACCTTTGTGACCCATCGCTAACCTGATACTAGGCCAAGTGGAACGGCCCCTTCATGGGCGAGGTCGTGGGCAGCATCGGCGAGGATGGCCGCTTCAAACTCTGGCAGGAGGATCCCACTGAGGTCGCCATGTCGGGAAACCGCTTCAAGCTCATTTTCAACCTGGCTTCCCAGACCAACGCGCCCTTCATGTCGCTCGACTTCAAGAACATCATGCAGGAGACCTGGGTTGCCCTCATCACCCGCGACGGCCACCTCGGCGTCTACGAACCCCAGGACCAGAGCAACCTCAGCGAGTGGACGCCGCTGGCTGAGCGCTGGGTCTCCGAGAATGATCCTCCCGAGCGCCAAGACGAGGTCGGGTTCAAGGTCGTCTTCCACAAGGAGAAGCTGCCTTGCTGGACCGCCATCACCGCCGGCCTGGACCGCAAGTCTCTCTCGCTTGCCGTCGCTGCCATGAAGGAGGTGCTCATCTACAGGACCGACAAGAGCAAGCGCTTCTTTCAGGTCGCGAAGCTTGACGGTGCCTCTCAGATCATCCGGGATTTGGCGTGGGCAAACGGATCCATGCGAGGTTACGACATCCTGGCCACCGCGAGCAAGGACGGCTCCATTCGCATCTATGAGCTGTCGACGCCTACCGAAGACAAGACCACTCAGCCTGGCGCATCCTCATCGTCCGGCATCCCGTCCGTCTCCCCGCGACCAGGCCCTCAGAAGAACGCCCCGTCTGGCATAGGAGCTGGCCTGGCTGGGGCTTCCAAGGCAACCGACGCGTCGCTCGACAATGAGCAGTACCCTGGCCGCATCAGGCAGGTCGTCAAGATGACTGACGAGCTCACCAAACACCACGGAGCGGTTTCGCGAGTCGCCTTCTCGCCGATGGGTAAGTCGTTGCGCAGTTACAGATTGCAAGAATGTTGCTAACAAGCCCTACAGGTGACATCCTCGTCTCCACCGGTGATGATGGCAGCATTCGTACCTGGAAGAAGGCTGCCAACGGCGGCTGGATGGAGTACGCTGAGATCGAGCCTACACGTGAGGACTAGCTGGTTATTCTCCGCACCCTTGTTTCGGTCTCACTCTTGCTGGCGATCTCGGAGTATCCCTTTTACTCAACTGAGATTATGCTCTCGCGGGATAGTAGACGGAAGCATGCGGACAATGGTCACGATGGGACGTGAGGAGATTTGACAGCACTCGAGGAACGGTTCTTTGCTTTTCACGATTGAGGGATTATCGGCGTTCTGGATAGGTTTCAAGCAGGTACGGAGCTTTGCAGCCTGCTTTCATGCATACGAGACACGGCACACGACGCACAGCGCACAGCGCATGAAGCACGATCGCATCTCGGCTTCCACGCTGCGTCGACGACGACACTTTACTTATAGATACCCACGGCTATCCTTCACGGAACCATCAGCCACATTACGGTGGGCACCACGATTGCTTGCGTTCTGTACACTATCACGGACCGAATTCAAAGTGTATAGAAATCATGTTGCCCGCTTGCGTGTTGCTGTGTCATGCTACATTCCTCAACCTCGACCTTCGCTAACCCAGCCACAGCATTCCAAACCGGCCTCCGCGCCTTAACTTCAAATAGTCGGATGGGTTTGTTCATATATCGCTGTGACGTGCGCACCTTTTCAAATGTCGCGTAGGTTACCATCTGCGAGTTGTCAAGTTTAGCTCTTTTGTACTGATCTTATAGTGATCATTTGTCCTTGCAATGCTATTCCGTCGCAATAAGCCCATTCAAGTCGCTCTAGTTCCTCCACCTACTGAGTCGCGTGCCGCGTCATTAACACTCAACCGTGCACCAAATGCATCCGGGCGACCCGCGAGAACCCTTGAGGAAATTCTAGGGATATCTACCAGTCCACCGAAGCCTCCCGCGAAGAATTATCATTCCATCGATCCAACCGGAGCGGGATACTCATCCGGGCAGCGAGCTCCAAAGAGAGAGCCAAGCAGCAAGAAGACAGGCCATGCCACGATACGCACTGACGCGACAGAGTCGCAGGCAGCTTTCGAAAGCGATGCCTTTGCCGTGCACATGCCGACGACTCGTCTGCCCATCGTAGAGCAGCCTATCTCACCGACCAAACATTCACGTCAAGCTCAGGTTGAGTCATACCGAACTTATGAAGAGAAGGCAAGACAGGTACGAGAGAGAAACAACAGCCAGGGCGTACAAGTGCCGCCAAAGATAGCGTCTTACAACAATGCCTGTACAGGAGGAGTCGAGAAGAGCTCGCCTTTCGCAAGAGCGTCCAGCCCCACTTCAAACGTCCATACGCCAGCAGGATCATTCCCAGTCAGCCCACCCCTCGCACAAAGTACCTGGGAGCATCGCGAGCGAAGACAAGCAATCTACATTCCACATACTCGCACAACGGACGAACCTCGCAGCACCACGCACACTCCATGCAAACCGCTCATCGCCCACGGCAACATCTCCCCAAACACGACACGCTTCCGCAGTCGCGCCGACTCAGAGGCAGGAGCATCTCCTTCGCCCACTATACGAGCAGCTCCCATAAAAGTTCTCATCACGCCGAAAGTCGTGCCTGAAGGGGTATCAACGGAGAGTTCGTATCATCTGTACAACTCTCCACCTACTAGTACAACAATGAGAACGACAGCAACAACATCCCGCTCCACCAGCCCCGCGAAATCGATGCCTAATTTCACACGTCATAATTAGATGGAAGGGGACTCCCTATTCGGGTACAGAAGTAAAGATGTCACTGGTACTACAGCGGGTGCTAGCTCCTCGCTCCCACCGAAAGACCCAACCACAAAGACAAACGCACCCGAGAAAGCGAAGGCCGATACAATAAAACGTACACGCTGGCCTTGGCACCGCCCCTCCGGTCCACGCCTCGGGAAACCCACGACGACGCCGGTCCAATTTGCTTCGGCTACGACCGCAGAAACAACCAAAAAATAGGAGAGGGTGAGATCGACGTATGTGGATCCTTTTGCCAGACTTGCAACACCGCCCGCACCACCTACAACGCTGCACAAAGTGCCAATCCCATCTTCACTTCGTCCAGCTTCTCCTCGCAAACTGGTGCGTCCGGCCGAAGAAGCAGGTGCGGAACATCAACTTTGTCACGGTTTGGGGTCTCTACTGCTCCTGGTCTTCACCTCCTCGAGACTACTCACCTTAGCGAGCTATGCCTATCTAGGGCTAGCACTGTTTACGGTCACTCACCTATATATCCTGTTTGTCACGGTTTGGGGTGTCTACTGCTCCTGCTCTTCCCCTCCTCGCGACTACTCACCTTAGCGAGCTATGCCTATCTAGGGCTAGCACTGTTTACGGTCACTCACCTACATATACTGTTCATAGTCACATACAATATCACCTCAGTTCAATCCTTCAATTCTTCCTGCACGCAATCCCCAACAAACTTTCTACCGGCTTTGTGCAACTCCGAAGCCTTGCCGTCTTCTTACTCAAGATTGCATTGTACATCTACATCGTGATAGCGATATGGTTCGTTCTCGATGCTATACGCGAGGCATTTCATACGATTGGCTTACCGTTCCGTGTTGCTAGTGTTGCTGGGCAGTATGTGTGGATGGGTATATGCTGGGCGGCGAGAGTGTTCATGCGCGGTTGGGCCAAGTGGGGGTTTAGGGTTGCGTTGAAGGGAGGTTGGATGTGGAGGATGAGGTGGTGGTGAGCGGAGAGTTGGGAAGGGACGGACGCTGGAGATAGCTCGGTGATACTCCGGAGGCAATGGAAGTCGCTGCGCAAAGAGGGTTGAAAAATGAAAGGGTAGGAGAAGTCTAGTAGGTAGGTCTACATACAAAGTTACATCATCAGGGTGTTTAATTTCATGTTTTTTTTAGCTTCAGGGCCAACCCCGTACTAATATTTATAGATATGGTTATTTTCAACTTTCAGGGCAACTTTGAAGCTTACAGTACTGACACAACAGTCATGGACAGAATGAAAAGGGCGATGCATCCTCTTTGTCACGATACATCCATATGTTATTTCCTTCTTTCTTTCCTGATTCTTACCTGAATTTATTATAGGTCAAGTAAAACAAGTGATCAAGATTTTCGTCCGCACTAATATACTCCGTACTGGCATATACATCCCCGTCCTCAGTCCCTGTACCGCCACAAACCGAATCTCACCGCAAATCCTTCCCCGTCCAACTTGAACCAACCGTTCCTAGCTCGTTCCCACGCACTTCCCCCCACCATTCTCCACCCAACCAACCATTTCCCGGCATCTTGGGCCTCCTACGCCCTCCTGATGTATGTATTCGCTAATAAATCTTTTGTTATAGATAAACTAACCGCTCAATTTTCCATCGAACATCTCAAGCGCAGCTTTCAGAGTTGCACAACTCCGCTTGGTGTAGTTGGTTTATCACGTTCGACTGTAATAGCAATTGTTATCGAAAGGTCCCTAGTAAGTAGTTGCCACAGCGTTCAACTCAAGGCTTGGTTCTAACGCCCGCGATAGGTTCGATTCTGGGAGCGGAGATTTTTTCAACCTTTTTATTTTGCTCCCGCAACGCCTTAGCTACTAACAGTTACCCTCCACTCTACTAAGCCCTTTGCAGTAAGCACCAAGTATCGTAAGAGCTGTCAGAATACAAGGAGAGTCAGATTCTATCACGTACTACTGCATAAATCAGTACACAATCAGAGGACAATTGCATTGTTTTTGGTATGCTTGAGACCGAATAGCAATCAGTAGTGCGGGGCTGCTTCACGTGGCTTCTGCTCACGTGCCCTTACCAGAGCCGAACATCGATCATCATCAGTATCAGCACTTTCACGTAGTGATGTGGTGTTTTGATAAGTGTTGGTAGCCTGCCCGAATGTGCCTAAAGTGTATAGTGTGATATCTGCTAGTTCGATTCTGGGAGCGGAGAACAGCTACTCTCTTTTTGTTCATATGCGTAGGTAGGAAGAGGGCCGCTTGAGTTTTTACTTGGGTCGCGGGAAGGTCTGGATCTATGTGGCGGTTGGAATGAAGTGGGGTAGATACGGATGTTAGAGACATGGCGGGGTTAGCTATTTTTTGTTGGCAAAGGGAAAATAAATGGACACGCAGTCTGGAGTGGTATATGTTCTCTTGTGTCGTGACTTGAGACTTCGATTGATACCAGAGAAATTGCCTTGATTTGGTGTTCTGGGTGGTGCGTGTGGTGAGCATCAATACCGTATAGTTTCCATTTCATCTCATCCAATCACATCAGGCTTCGTGGCGCAATGGTAGCGCGTCAGATTCCAGAACTCACCACTGGAGCTTCCTGAAGGTTAGGCGTTCAAATCGCCTCGAGGTCATTAGTCATTTCTTTTTGCCGGTTTGACGTCTTTTTCTGCTGCTTGTGGTTATCGCATTGTGCTTGTTCGATGGCGGAAAAGGAGGGGTGACTCCACACCACATCAGCCAAGGATCTGGCCCTATAGCTTTTGATTGAAACGAGATTGCTGAAGTTTTCAAATATATTTCAGAGCTATCCGAATGAACCGAACACGACTGCCTTACCGGAGTTGTCCTCTTGTACCATTGACTGCTCTAGCTTTAAGAGGAGGTATGACGTTCGGATGATGAGTTCTATACCAACGTTAGCGAGCCGCCACAAGCATGCGCAAGGGCAAGGTGTACCATCGAATTCGACCTCATAGGAAACGGGCATGTCCTCATCCGCGCTGATAAGAATGGGGGCGCCCCGACGGAGCTTTCTTTCCTTCACCTTGAAGCGTATGCCGCTATCCCTTCTCGGAGTAACCCAGATAATCCGCGGATCCTCCAGGTCGACCTCCTCTTCCTCCTCCTCCACCGCCTGGCGTACGGCCCCTTTGCCCTTGCCTGCCTCTTGTACGACTTCCCGCAGTACATCGCTATTGACTGTCGGGCCTTTCGCGGCGATATCCCGCAGCCAATTCCTCCACACTCGCAACACACCGTCTTCGATCTCAACGAAGGAGGTATACATGCCACGAGAACCAATCTTTACGAGGTGTGTTTGAACTACCAACTGTGTGAACCACTCGTGTGCCTCGAGGCCTACCGTTTGCGTGATAATGTCGCCTTGATATCGTTCTTGTACCGTGCCAGGGAAGGTGCGACTCCCGGGTATATCGCCAGGTCGCGGCCGAACCTTTCTCCCCCCGGGTTCTAGCTCGCGCCGATGTGGCCTGAAGCGCGAGTACATGTTGAACATGTCTCGCAGCCTACCCACGTTCTCCTTCTTGTCGCATTCGGGCTCTTGGTAGAGTGTTAGACCATCAGTACCGCGATATGAGCAATGGTAGGGCTCTTCGGTGAGCTTCGCGGAGGGGTGGAAGCACTCGAAGAGTACAGTGTAGGAAGGGAGCTTGGCAGCTGCGACGAGGCGGTTATGCAAGATACGCAGGATGAGCATGTATATGCGGCGCGAGATGGTGGTCAACGGGAGTAGTTCTGGGGTCGATATAGGCGTGAGGAGGTGAAGCAGCAGCTACAATGGTGAGTCGAATTGCGACAGGATGATAGTGAAGGTGCCATGCCTCATTGGGGAGCCGGTAGAGATAGCATTCGCCGCTGTCGGTCATGGACAGCCTTGCAGAGTCCATGTTCAGAGGTAAACCAACAAAGTACCTGCACAGTGGTCGGTGTCATGACCGGGTGAGAGGGAGGGGGGGAGAGAGGGCGCTCGTAGTCCTACCGCGACGAATCGCCCGGAGATAAGACATCGTCATCGCGACGCTAGGCTCCGTGTGGTGGGCCGAGGCCAGTCCCAATCGGGTTAAGACGTCAACAAGACGCGCTTTCCCTTTCGAGCTTCAACACTCAGCTCTAGCTCCCGTCGGATGTCCCTCGTCCCATGACACGAATTCTTCACGCCGGCTAGATCTTGTTGTGCGCTGGAACGAGGGCGTGGATCCACTCGCTGCTAACCAGCAGTAGCCATGCAAGGCTTCATCAATCAACGCCACCGAGTTGGCAGTCCTCAGAATGCGCAGCCCCAAGTCAAGCCTGAACGACGAGCCGCTGCTGCGAACGCAAGGGTATCGATGAAGAACGGTCCCATTGCTCAACAGGCACAGAATCAAGCTGCCATCCCTTCTCGCGGACTGGGTAATGCCCAGAACAGCTCGGCGATCATGCAGCAGGCACCCCAACGCCGTCATTCAGGTCAAGCCCACGGCCAGAAACATGATCCATATGACACTGATGCAGCGAGTCTCGACACCACCGTCGACCAGTCTGTCATTCAAGTCAAACACAATCAGAAAAAAGACCAACAGGGGGGGCAGCAGCACGACCTTGAGGTTGATCACAGTGGGGACTCAGATGAGGAAGAAATCGAGTATGAGGTAGAAGAGTCTGACGAGGCGCACGAGCAGGTGCACGAGCAGCAGTACCCTGACTGCAATGATCATGTCTTCACCCACGACGAAAACCAGTATCTGGAAGAACAAGGAGCTCAGAACTTCTCTCGCGAGAAGAAGCTTGGCCTACTTGGACTGATAGAATTACAGCTTGGGACAGTCGATGGCGATTCGTATCCTACTACCACCAACGGTGAACCGTCCGAATGGGGAGGTACGCAGGAGCCACCTTCCCAACACTACGATGACAGAGGTCCGGTTTCCCCCTCGCCACAGCGCCAGCATATCGACTCCCAGTCTGCACGTCCATTTGCACCACAACCACCGCAACAACAGCAAAAGCCAAACATACCAGCTCCCACTCATAGCATGCAGCTGTTCCAGCAGTCCGCAACCATCCGTGGCCAACAGCGCTCTTCCGCTCCTCTTGGACAACTCGGAGAACAAAACTTCCAGCACAACATCGCGGCTTTACCATCAAGCCAACTACCCACCTACAGCCAGGCCAACCCCAATGTCACTCCTGCTCTACCGTTGCATTCAAGCACTCGCCCAAACTCTCATGGTCTGGCCAGTAAGCCTTCGCAGGCTGTTCAACGACAATCTGTTGGTGCTTCACGAGTCCAATTTCAGCCCATCAACCGTAAGCTAGCAGAGCCGCCTGCGCACTCAAAGCACCCCTCATCGGCGCGTTCTAGGCCAGAGCCAATGGCGCAACAGCACTCGGTCGAGCCGGCTCCTGAAGAGGAAGTCGAAGCAGCTCCATACGGTGACTATGACCACGATACTCTCTTGGGCATGAAGTACAAAGATCTGAAGAACGAAGACTTTGATACCGATCCTCATGCAAGACCTCGCGTCCTGGCTGAAGAGGACCTCCGCAAACCACTTGTTGAACGTCTGGAATTAGTGCAGAAAACCCTAGTCGTCGACCAACAATCCGACTTCTTTCGCTCATTGCCTACCACGGAGTGGGAGGATGCCGGTGACTGGTTCCTCGACAAGTTCCAAAGCATCATCCGACGCACGAAGGAGGCAAGGCAAAGCAAGCGCAAGCTCGCGCGCGAGTTCGAGGATGAGGTTGAGAAGCGTCACAAGCATGTTTCGAAGAAACAATGTCAGGTCGAGCAGGCGATGGACAAGATGAAGGCGCAGGGCGAGGGTCTGGTGCCTAGGAGCCCCAGGCCATCCAAGAGCCCCAGGCCGAAGAGGGGCTAGTAATGGTGATACTTGTGAGGCAGTCTCACGCTGCTTGCAATATGGTGTCGGCGTTACACGACGTAACGCAATAACGAAGGGCGCTTCACGATATCCGGAGTATCAGACGCAACGGCGTAGAGATGGTGTTCGGATGATCTTACTGCGTATTATCTACCCATGTTTTCCATACACATTGTTATGACGTCATATCCGCTATATTTTCAAGAAGTGGTGCCGCACAGATCTGTAGGAGTATGTCAAGCTTACACTCTTCTGGTCTGATGAAGGCTAGGTTAGGTGTACCTAGTCATCAACAAAGATCTCCGCTCTACAAATTATACCCCAGAAATTAAGCGATACAGCTCTGGCTCAGCGAAGGTGTAGATTGACCTTGCGTATCGCGTGAGAATGGCGCTAGTCTTGGCCTGTCTTAGCCGCAACACGCCCGGGGGCCCAGATATCCCCTGGAGGTCAATGAATTGCCCAGCACCTGAGCCGACCAACCGGAACCGTACACCTCCACATGCTTTACCATACGACTTACCATTTGAAAAGAACTATATTTGCCCTTATAATTCCTCACACATAGGTACGAGTCTAAAGATCTCTGTGCCAAAAGTGTCGAACTAGTGGACGCTTACAAACGAACAGCGCTTTAGTCTTCCGCTACCAATCTGCAGCCGGATACATGAAGGCTGCAGGAAACACCGTTACTGGGAAATTTCTTAAGCTTAGTTATATATCCAGAGAAGTGCAACAGGATTGCGGAGGTTCCAACATCGCCCGGACATATGATCCGCATACTCGGAACTCTACGGAAGCTTGGCATGTCAGCTTGACTTCATTGTCCCCACGTTCGTAGTTTTTAGATTCAACGACTGTCAAATGGACGTGTTTGCAACGTGACTGCTTACACAACACAGTTGTTCCTTCTCTTGTGATCACCACCTTCGCCCCTCTTCTCCTTCTCCTTCTCCTTCCTTTACGGCTACATTCTGCATGCGCAAAACAGATCCGATACCGGTATAGCAGCAACATCAATATCAACATCAGCAAAACTGTCACTACCCAACATGCCCTTCGAAATAGCAAAACAGTGGTCGTCATACCACCTAATACCGCAATCAACAGATGTAGCGCTAAACCCCCCGGAATCCTACTTCTTCATAACCGACTTCCTAATCATAGCCTGCGGAGTCCTCTACACACTCTGCTACACCTTCTACACAATACGCACCTACTCAGACCGCTATCTTGCCGGCACCGTACAATTCCTCAGCGCAACAATGGCATACGAAATCTACTACGCCTATATATGCACCACGACGGCCTTCCAGCGCGCATGTTTCTTCGTCTGGTTCCTCTTTGACATCACCTTCGTTGTCGTGACGCTGAAGTACGCATATGCGCCCGATGAGAGAACGAAGACGGCTTGGAAGTTGGCGTGGCAGGTGCCGGCTTGGATGGCGTTCCTTTGGTATGTTGGGAGAGTGTGGCCAGATGAGCGGGAGCAGAAGACGGCGTTTTGGACGGGCTTGTATCTTGAGTTGCCGATCGGGTGGGGGCAGGTTTGGTATTTGTTGAAGAAGGGGGGTACCAAGGGGCAGAGTTTGGAGATTTGGTGAGTCGAGCGCCTACTGTTTGCAGGTATTGACGGAGAAAGGAGAGTGGGCAGCTGACGACCTATAGGCTCACGAGGTACATGGGTTGCATCACGGCGTTTCTGGTGTTCATCTGGCGGTACGTTAATGCGCCGGAGAATTGGT